TGGTAGTTGCACGTTTACAGTAACGGTTACAGGTTAGTTATATTTCCTTATGTATACATAGACTTCCTCCTTATAAAATTATGCTTCAGCAAAAATACTCTACTAATAATACTTTGTAGGCTTTTTAACAAACAATTATGTATTATGTAAATCTAATGTACTTTACAGATAGCGAAGATCCTGTATTGACATGTCCACCTGACACCAGCTTATCAACTGACAGAGGAATGTTAACAGCTACTGTCACATATAATGCTTCGGATGTTACAGTTATTGACAATTCAGGGGAAACTATTGTTCCAACTACCACAACATCATTTCCAGCTCAGTTTGTGATTGGACCAACCAATGTAACGTATACAGCTACCGATTCTTCTGAAAATACTGGTAGTTGCATGTTTACAGTAACGGTTACAGGTTAGCTATATTTGCTTATGTATCATAGACTTCCTCCTTATAAAATTATGCTTCAGCAAAAATACTCTACTAATAATACTTTGTAGGCTTTTTAACAAACAATTATGTATTATGTAAATCTAATGTACTTTACAGATAGCGAAGATCCTGTATTGACATGTCCACCTGACACCAGCTTATCAACTGAGAGAGGAATGTCAACAGCTACTGTCACATATAATGCTTCGGATGTTACAGTTATTGACAACACAGGGAAATCTCTTGTTCCAATTACCACAATATCATTTCCTGTTGAATTTGTGCTTGGACCAACCAATGTAACTTATACAGCTACCGATTCTTCTGGAAATACTGGTAGTTGCACGTTTACAGTAACTGTTACAGGTTAGTTATATATTGTTATCTATACATAGACTTACTCTATATAAAATTATGCTTAAGCAAAAGTACTCTGCCAGTGATACTTTGTAGCCTTTTCAACAAACAATTATATATTATGTAAATCTAATTTACTCTACAGATAGCGAAGATCCTGTATTGATATGTCCACCTGACAGTAGTTTATCAATTGACGGAGGAATGTCAACAGCTACTCTCACATATAATGCTTCGGATGTTACAGTAACTGACAACTCAGGGGAATCTCTTGTTCCAATTACCACAACATCATTTCCAGCTGAATTTGTGATTGGACCAACCAATGTAACGTATACAGCTACCGATTCTTCTGGAAATACTGGTAGTTGCACATTTACAGTAACTGTTACAGGTTAGTTATATATCGTTATCTATGCATAGACTTACTCCATATAAATTTTTGCTTCAGCAAAAATACTCTACCAGTGATACTTTGTAGGCTTTTCAATAAACAATTATGTATTATGTAAATCTAATGCACTCCACAGATAGCGAAGATCCTTTATTGACATGTCCAGCTGACACCAGCTTATCAACTGACGGAGGAATGTCAACAGCTACTGTCATATATAATGCTTCAGATGTTACAGTAACTGACAATTCAGGGGAAACTCTTGTTTCAACGACTACAACATCATTTCCAGCTGAATTTGTGATAGGACCAACTAACATAACTTATACAGCCACTGATTCCTCAGGAAATACCGGTAGTTGTACGTTTACAGTAACGGTTACAGGTTAGTTATATTTCTTTATGTATACTGTACATAGACTTATTCCATATGAAATTGTGTTTAAGCAAAATACTCTACCAGTAATACTTTGTAGGCTTTTCAACAAACAATATGTATTATGTAAATCTAATGTTCTCCACAGATAGTGAAGATCCTGTATTGACCTGTCCACCTGACACCAGCTTATCAACTGACGGAGGAATGTCGACAGCTACTGTCACATATAATGCTTCGGATGCTACAGTAACTGACAACTCAGGGGAAACTCTTGTTCCAATTACCACATCATCATTTCCAGCTCATTTTGTGATTGGACCAACGAATGTAACGTATATAGCAACCGATTCTTCGGGAAATACTGGTAGTTGTACGCTTACAGTAACTGTTACAGGTTAGTTATATTTATTTATTTATTTATAGAAATACGTACTGCATAGAAAAATATGTTATAGCAAAAATACTATACAAATGATACTCTGAGATTTTTAACAAACAATTATGTATTGTTGTGCATATAACTATATGATCAAGTATGGTATTTAATCCATTAAATTTGTTCATCTAATCTTGATTCTTACCTCTAAATTGGGGTTTTATTTACTTATACCAGCTTTTTGAAAGTGATTTTAGTTTTCCTCTGATGTATCTACGGAATTTTTAGTATTCTTAAGCAAGAATTATCAGTTTGTGGAATTACCATGATCAATCCTTTGATAAATTTTAGGTTAGAATTGATCGAGTACTATCCGATTCCCATCTTTACAATGCTATAATTCTTGCTGGAGATTTTAGCATTCATTATGAGTGCAATATACCTTACCAACTTGCAATTTACAAGCACTGCTTTCTAGCATTTTAGATATTTTTAATTTTAATCAGGTTGTTCCTTTTATTACAAGAAGGCGAATTGAGCATAGCAGTAATGGTACATATTTGATCATATTTATACAAATAAGTACAATATAGTTACATCTATCACTCCTTATCCAGGCATTGTAGGAAGTGATAATTATGGTAATTTTTATTAATCTAAACCTAAGTGTTGCCTCAAATGCCTTGCCTCATAGTCACTTTTTAGAATATTCGAAAATAAACACCAATGATTTCAACACAACTTTTTCAAACCGTGATTGAGAAGACTTTTGTTACAGAAGATGTAAACAAAATTTGGGAAAAGTTTAAAACAAAATTCCTTGATGTCATTTTGAAAGTTGTTACTAAATGTAAAGCCAAAAGAAGAATGAAAAAACCTTGGATAACTGCTGAGATAATATGTTTTTCTGAAATGAATATGAAATAGTTTAAAATTGCTAAGGCTGTCAAATATTCTCAAAATTTTCAACCATGGCGAACCGCCCACAAGAACATGTACCGTACCTCCCTATACCCTGTCTCTTATACACATCTAGATGTGTATAAGAGACAGATATATATATATAAAATAAGTAAGCAGAACAGAAATAACATTCTTCACAAGGTGACTACTTTGAAGCATATATTTTATTTAAAAAAACAAATTTTCGGGAGCGCCTGCTATCCTCTTCAGGGTTACAATTGAAATGACTCAAATATATATATATATATATATATATATATATATAGTCAGGCTATATAAGCACACAGAATAATTCCTGTCTAGCACAAGTATTAGTATATAAGTGGAAAAAAAATTGAAACATATATCGACCAATAATATTGGTATTCCAAAATATTTGTTTATTAAATTAGATATCGAGGATCCTGTTGTCAATGCTTGTCCTAAAAATTTCACGCTGCCAACAGACGAGGGTGCTCCTGATCGAGTAGTGTACTGGATAAATCCAACAGCAACAGATAATTCAGGAAATGTTTCTATCTCTTACATATCGCATACAAATGGCTCAACATTTATTCTAGGTGAATCTACAGTTACGTATAATTTTTCTGACCCATCTGAAAATACAGCAACATGTGAATTTATCGTGACAATAATTGGTAAGCACTACAGGTTATAGTAGATGAAAATCTAATAGAAGTATGATTTAGTTACTGCAATACTTGTCGTCAGATTTTAAGTTCTTGGGAATGTTTATTGTGATGATGAAAAAGGCACCATACGTCTATATCTAGTTAGGAGAAGGCATAATATTAAGATAATGAAAAACAGTCAACAATATATTTTTTTCATTTTTTTTTTTGTTTGTTTATATTTCGTGAAAAGTCAGCATCTTGAGGTGAAACTTAGCTTTAAATAAGTCTGCACATTTACCGTGTTTCCAAGTAAACCCCCGCCCCTTGACGTCTAGCTAGAAGCCGTTCCTCAATGACCTCTGTGACTTTTTGGTGGTGCTCAGACAAAAAAAACATTCATTGTATTTCTGTAGAAAATAGCAAATTAAACATAATACGTAACAGGACCATAGGAATTTTTGAAGTATTGTTTACACAGAGGTTTGATATATAAATTGAAATTTAAAAAGCATTTCGAAAGGCCAAAGCATTTCCTTCAAGATACAAAAAATTGCTAAAATTTACAGTCATAAAAGTGCATTCTGGGATTTTTAAACCTATTGAAAACTCCTTAATTGGCCCCAGTGGTCTGGTTTAATTACCAGTCGGACCTCAAAGGGTAACTTTATGGGGTTTAGAACTAAATTTAACACTTTAAATTTATCATCGATTATTATTTTATATAGTGCACATCTCTGAAAAACTGCTTAAGGCCCTTTTTCTTGGTCATTGGATACAGAATCAACATGCACAGCATTTTACCTCATAACAGAATGCCTGTAAACAACACTAATAAATGCAAATCAAGTGTCTTACCTAAGGATGTAAGCAATGTAACAAACATTCGTCTCAAAACCCTGACCTTCCGATTTGAATTCAGCGCCTTACAGGCTTCGCTACACGCTTCTACCAACAATAACTATTCTCAATGTAAAACATACTAATAGTATAAAACATAGTACCCTATACTTAACGTGTGTCCAAGCAAATTCTTAACTTTAGAAGTTTTGAACAAAAATTCAAAACTAAACGTGTGTACCTTAAGTATCAATTCTGTATGTTAAATTTAAAAAGAGTATAAAGCATATTTAATTGAAATGTAGCATCTGGCTTCTCTATAATTCGTGATGCTAGGGTAGGACCGTATTAGAAAAAGTATTGTCTTTTCTTTAATTTTTCTATGTATACTTATTCATTTATTCATATATTTGTTCATCTTGGTATAGATGTTGAACCTCCAACGGCTGTTAGTTGTCCCAGTGAAGCTATTTATAGCACTGATCCTGGAGAAAATGATAGAGATGATGTTGATTGGGTTGCACCATCATTTTTTGACAATGCTCCATCAAACATGGCATTGGTATTTAATAGTAATGGAATTCCTCCAGGGTCCAATACGTTTCAACTCGGAACTACTGAAGTAACGTATACGGCTACAGACCAAGCCATGAATACTGGATATTGCACATTCTATATAACAATCATCGGTAATAAAATTACTTTTCAGTAGATTAATTGATTGATTGATTGATTGATTGATTGATTGATTGATTGATTGATTGATTGATTGATTGATCGATCGATCGATCGATCGATCGATCGATCGATCGATCGATCAATCGATCGATCTCGATCGATCTCGATCGATCGATTGATTGGTTGGTTGGTTGGTGGGTTGATTAATTGATTGGTTGATTGATTGATTGATTATTTTGTTGTTTTTATTTTGATCAGTAACAAAAAACAAAAATCTGTTTTTCTTATCCTCTTTCATCATTTGCTGTGCCTCGTATTAGAATTATTACACGTAACTTACCTAATGCACTTTTAAACCCTTTAACTAATTAATCCTCTTGTTCCGATGGCATTCATTCCGTTGTTTTGAATTAATCTGCTTCTGAACTAGCTCCATCCTGTTCTAAACTTTCCAATTTTTTCCTTACTCCCAAAGAAGATGACAAATTTTTCCACTAACTACCGACCTAATGCCCTCACTTCTCTACTTTCTAATGTTTTTGAGTCCACTATTTCTCTTCTTTCCTTTCCCAAATCTCACCAAGTTCTTTCTGCTCACCAGTATGTTTTTTGTCGCGCAAAATCTACTAGTGACCTTTAGGTAGGTAGGTAATAGAATAAATCATAACTTGCAGCGTCATTGTGCTGCATTTAGTATGTGCGTGGTCCGTGACTACCTAGTAGCCTTAAAGAGACACTTATATTAGCTACATGTTCACATCATTCCAAAACAAGGGCTGAAAAAAAAATAGCATTTGGGTAACCCCCTACTCTTTCGAAAAATGCATTGGGTCCTTTAAAGTGCACACTGGACCTCCATTTTAAGTCCTTATCCAAGAAGACTTGGTTCTACCAAACAAATTATGGGCGAGAAGTGGCTGGAACCAGCGCCAATATTAAGGCTGTTGTTAGTGGCGCCCCTGTCCTTACTACTCAACCACCTGACTCTCCCTTTGTCATCTGGTGCTCTGCGATTGAAAAATTTAAGTCGTGTCATATCACTTGCCTGATTGTCAAACTTCCCTATTTTGGTTTCTCTCCATGTCTTATTAACTGCTCAGACTTTTTCCATGGTCTGCTGTAAGGATTGATGTCTACTTATCTCGTTACCATCTAATTCATGCTGATGTCGCATTTCTACTCTCTTTCTTTTATAATATTAGCTATCTGCTCTTATTGGTTTCCTACTGTATTCACTCTTTTGCTGATGACACCTACTGTACAGTACTTTAAATTCGTATTTGTGCTTTTGGACTCAAGCTTTTACAGTCCTATTTGTGTATCTACAGCCGCGAATATTCTTCCCCAGAATCTAGCAGTTGTTTGCAAATGGGAAATGTTTGCAAAACATTGTACGCGGTTCAACAACATGAAAACAGGTCAGGTTGTCAAGATGAGCTTTGTCTCCCCAACACTATTTCACAAATTGCTGTCTGTATATTCTACTCTTTGTAAGAGTAGCCACATCCATAACTTTGAAAAAATGAGCCTCTCAGAATTAACGGTACCTCTTCCGTGCTCGCAAAATATAATATCTGGTGTTGAGCTCTTCCTTCGTTTTTATCTAGTCTGACAAAATTCAAACACTATCCCTATTTTATAATACCTTTTTAGTCATTGTTCTATAGAGCTTTGTTATATTGTCCCTCCACTCCACTTATCTTCTAGGTCAAAGCGGGCTTCTGTCTGTGTTCACAAATAATATGTCTCTACACCTACTTTCCGCTTTTTGTCTTATTCCAAATCATCAATTATCTTATTTTTCCTTTGGCTGGACTTGCCATAGGTTTTACCATTTCTGGGTATTACAATTAAAAACAAAATCTACTATTTAATAATTATTGATTTTTGTATTATTTGGTCATTTGAAAAAATAATGTCTCATTGAAATTAACATTTTTACATGTTAATATTCATTTTTCTGCTCTGGTTTTTATGTCACTGTATTTAGTATATACTTAAGATAAATAAACAATATGATAAAGATTCAATTTTTTGTTAAATTCTATGGTCCTAAATTATCAAATGAAATAAAAATAAGTGATCATTTTAAAAGATGTTTTAAGCTTCTAATGTAATTCCAAAATCGTAAGCTACTGTTTTCATATTGTAAAAAGTCGATTTGAAGAAATGTTACTGAATCTGATAAGACATAATTATGAAACGATACGATACCTTCTGATTTATTGGTTTTATTGAACATTGAAGACACTGAACGTCCTATTGTAATGTGTCCCGACGACATATCAACAAACTCATCTGAAGGCGCAGCAACTGCTTTAGTGAACTACACAGCAACTGCGACGGACAATGTTGAAGTTACAATGGAAAGTTTCAAAATACCTTCCGGTTCATTATTTTACATTGGTGACACTAATGTTACGTTTATGGCATTTGATGCAGCTGGTAACGAGAACAATTGCACATTTGTTATAACAGTTGAAGG